GCTAAAGGACAGGGAATGCTGGGTTCAGTCCCGTTGAGAGGCACGTCAAACACCCCCCTCAGAACGGAGCTTTTGAGAGGGTTCAAAGGAACCCAAAACAAAAGCCTTCCTTTGTGGAGTTTCCCTTCGCTCATTGTCCCCTTTCAACTCCCAGGGGCCTGCCCCTTGAAGAAAGGGGCTGCTAATGTGCAGAGTGGGAGTTTTAAATTGTGCGGGGCCAACAATAGGGGCCCGTCGCCAGCCTCATTACAGAATCATCCGAATGCCGGAGAAGGGTTTCCCACTGATTAGCATAAATAGCAGAAAAACTCTTTCACCAACAAAGCAGGTTTCATCTGCCCTCAGTGTGTCCTCACCTTGACTTCAAATGGCCAGTCACTCTCCCTGCACAATGTAGGGCTGGGCATCTTGGCCCCCGTACCTCCGGGCCGGCGGCATTCAGGGCAGTATCAACACAGTAGCCCGTGTGTTTATTCAATGACAGCCCCCTCCTTCGGACAGGGTTCCCCACCACTGTGGGCACTTCATCCTTTTCCTTAAAGCCTCTAGCCAGGGCAGAGAGAAAGGGAGCTCCGGAGAAGCCGAGCTACAACCCACACCTTGTGAGGGGGGCTGCTGGGGTAATCAGGTTCCTACTGTCTCCATTCCTCAGGCCTGTTGTTTCTGCGATTCTGCTGCCAGATTAAAGAGTCATTAATCACTGGGGCCTGTCAAAGAGGCTGTGCCCCAGAGGGGGAGGTTATTGGCATCTGGGGTTGTCCAGCAAAGGTCTGGTTTGCATTACAGCTCACAACAGGATAGCGACCCTTTCTCCCATTAGCCACAGGGGAGATTGTACCTACCGGGAGGGCTGCAGGAGGGCAGGACCAGCCCCAGCCTCTAGACTCTGGGCCCTGACTGTGTCTAGGGCATCCCGAGGAGGACAGCTAGGTGGCTGAAGGGCTGCAGTCCATGTGTGGAAGGATCAGCTGAAGGGACTGGATGGACAAGTTTAGCCTGAAGGAGAGAAGACTGGTGGAGGAGAGGACGGCTGCCTTCAAGGGTCTGACAAGCTGCCACTTGGAAGAGGGCTTAGCCAGGGCCTGCTTGGCCCCAGAGGGCAGACCCGAGAGTTACAGGGGAAGGCCAGGAGAAGGTGCTCCCCATTAGGGCTGGCCAAAGCCTGCGGGGCTGCCTTGGCACAGGGGGCTCTTCTTCACATCAGGCTGGAAGATCACTCATTGGAGCGGGGTCGCAGCGGGGACTTCTCTTCAGGCACAGGTGGGGCTCCCTTCTGCCTCAGAGATGCTGTGATTCACTGGTTAGGATTCACCATCTGGTGAACACCGAGTATCATAGTGGAGTCAGCTCTGGGTCCTGAGTCAGGAAGACTCAAAATCACATCCTGCCTCAGACCCTTCTGCCTTCCTCAGTTTCTTCAACTGTAAAATGGGAGTACTAAGAGCACCTACCCCAGAGAGTTGTCATGAAGACCAGATGAGGTGTTTGTGACTGGTATGTAGTAGGTGCTTAATAAATGCATATTTCCTTCCTGCCTCAGTTTCCTCATCCATAAAATAGAGACAATAACATTCACCTCCCAGAGTTTTTGTTGGGTTCAAAGGAAATAACATTTGCAAAGTACTTAGCAAACCTTACAGTGTTCTGGAAATGCTATTTATTATTATTATTACTATTATTATTATTATTATTATCACTTGCTGTCATTGCTCAGTCCCTAGAGGGATGATTCGTGTTATCATGTATAGTTTCTTCTGAGCTTTTTCTGTCATCGGTGACGGCTGGAGACTCAGGAGCTCACGGACAGCGCTGTCAACCTCAGGCTTCAGGGTTCTGCTATTTCTTGTAGTTTAAACAGGGAGAAATGCAGGCATGCCTTCAAGGTGAAAGGTTCAAGTCAAGAATTTCCGCATCCCATTTTCAGAATTCTCAAGGCCCGGATGAGCGCTCAGCTAGGGCTGCTTGACTTTGCTGTGGTAGCCCTTCATGTCTCACCTGTCTCCTCTCTAGATGTAGGTACAAGGCAGCCTCCACCCCCCACAGAGAGGGGGAAATGGAGCCCAGCATCCTCCTCCCTTGAAACAGCCCAACAAATTCTACAGGGAGGCTGGATGTAGGGCTCTGGATTCCTTTCCACCAGAAGTGAAGTGCCTAGCATGGACCAGTGTTATTTCCCAGACACCAGACAGAGCTTCTATTCGTGTTCCAGGTGGGCATTTAGGCTGGTCAAGAGAACAGGAAGGCCACCTTCTGTCCTACTGATGATGGTGATGATAGCAGCAAACAGAGCAGAATAAAGCGGAAAGTTTCAGATTCAAATTCCCAAGGTCACTGCCTGTGTGACCTTGGAAATGTCATTTCACTCCTCTGGGTCCACCATGGCCATAGGTGCACCATTAATCCAGATCACCAGATGATCACAGGACTCTGCCCTCGGGTTAAAGCAACATCTTGAAATGTAAACTTGGCTGAGCGTCCTAGCAATAGGTGTGCCCTCGAACTTTTTCTGTTTCTCTGCCAGTTTCTTCCCTTTCTGTTTTTCTGGGTTCCGTCTGTCTCCTTTTCCTCCTAACTGGGGATTGGGGGAGGGACAGAGGGAAGAGGCCGGGTGGCTCAAACCCTAGTCCCCTTCTCATATGGCATCCTAGGATTTAGAACAGTAACCTTAGACCTTAGAGATCATCTTTTCAGATGCTCAGACCAAAGTCTAGAGATGGGGGAGCCTGGGAAGCATCTTATCCAACTGACTCATTTTACCCATTAGGAGGAGGAAGCCGGGAAAGGTCAGACAGGTCATACGTGGCCAAGATAAGATTTTTTCCTCATACATTTTCATTTTTGTCTTTTGATATCCTTGGCATTTCCCCCATTACCCCTCCCCCTCCCAGAGACCCATGCAAATTCATAGCAAATACAATTTATAACAAACAAAAAATTTTCAGGACAAAAAAAAAATAAGAAAACTAATTTGAACCCAGGTGATAGGATCACATAATCTCAAAGTTAGAAAGGAGTCAGAAGCTTTCTAATCAAACCTGTAACTGGAAAGAAAAAAAACCTTCTACAATGGTCTTTTATTTTAATATTTGACCTTCATTAAATTTTTTTTTTCAATTAACACACACTTGTTCTCTTTCTAGCCTCTCCACAACAGAAAAAGGAAAAAAAAAACCTTTGTAACATATATGCACAGTCAAAACACATTCCCACCATGGCCATGTACACAATGTGTCTCAGTCTGCATATCTCCTCCATGGCCTCTCAGGCAGAAGGTGGTGGCAGCCTCCATCCTTGCGTGGTCCTCTGAATCCTGGTGTTAATCCAAATTCTGAAGTCTCTCAGAGTTCCTCAGTGTTGCAATGGGAGTACAAACTGTCATTCTGTTCCTGCTCAGATCACATTGCCACAGATACTGAATTTCATAGTCATGGATTTGACCTGCCATAGCAGCCTATAAAATGCCAGTTTGCATCTTTATTGTTGACATGTTAGCAATCTCTCTCAACCTTGGGCCATCTCTGAGTTTGATAAGCACATTAGGTGAGGAAGTGGATAGAATGCTGGCCCTGGAGTCAGGAAGAGCTGAATTCAAATCCAGCCTTAGATACTAACTGGCTGCATGACCTTGGGCAAGTCACTTAACCATTGTTTATTTCAGTTAGGGATAACTCCCAGGATTGTTGTGAGGATCAAACGATAACATTTGTAAATCACTGAGCCCACTGTTGGGTGATATAAATGTATGCGTGTGTGTGTACATATATATACCCATACACATATATAATTGATTAACCAAGTCATTGCTAACGGCTGTTAAGCAGCACAGGACCAAGGACAGATCCCCCGGGCACTCTGCTGGAGGATCCTGGTTCAGGTCCATGAATACTGACCTCTCTTCAGCCACCAGTCCTGCATTTCCACCTGTGCGCTGGGCTGCCACTCCTGGACAGCTTGTTGCCACCTTAAAACGCCCAGATTCCACGTGCCCGAAACTGAACCCACATCTTCCTCCTCCTCCTCTTTGCCGCCCTGCTCCTCCCATGGATGAGAGCCTGTTTTCTCAGGCCCCTTAAGACTTCAGGATCGTCCCTGACTCTCCTCTCTTCCTCACTTTCACAGCTAATCAATTGCCAAGCCAACAAATATATACTAGCCATATACTTTGTTGAGGCAACAGGACGCCGAGGGTAGAGGGTTGGTCTTGGAGTAGACCTAGATTCAAATCCCACCCCTGAAACTCTGTGTGACTCTGGGCAATTTGCACCATTTCTATGGGCCTTGAGCAATCCCCAAGAGCTTATCCAGAAGCCATCTCTGTCAGGGAGAGCTCCCAGCCCTTATTTGATATTATTTGCAAGGCTAGTGTTAGTGACCAGGGATACAAGTCAAAAACAAGAGCCCATACCTGCCCTGCAGCAGCCTGGAATCTAGTGGAAGGTTTGGTTACTTATCACAACGCACTCTGGGCCAGCACCTGGGCTTCTCTGGGCCTCAATTTCCTCATCTGTAGAATGTAGATCTTGTATCTGATGACCTCCAGCATCTCTTCCATCTCGAAATCCACCAACAGCTGCCCAGAGAAGGGCGTCTGGGGCTGTGAGGGCGGCGGATTGTGCCACGCCATGTGGAGGACTGGCAGAAGGAACCCGGCTTGTTTAACCTGGGAACTTAGGGCGCCAAATGAATGCAGTCTTCAGCCCATATCTGGGTAGAAAGAGTGGCAGGTCCCAGGCTCAGCAGCCAGGTTCACTGACTCTCCCATGCTTTAAAAACTTTTAATTAACTTAAGTCATTCAGAGGCAGTTAAGTGGTGCAGTGGATAGAACACCAGCCCTGAAGTCAGGAGGACCTGAGTTCAAATCTGTCCTCAGACCAGTCACTTGACACTTACTAGCTGTGTAACCCTGGGCAAGTCACTTAACCCCAATTACCTTAAAAAAAACCTTAAGTCACTCAAGAAGCATTTATTAAGTTTATTAACTGATTAAGTACCTTTGGTGGGCCAGGTACTGGGATAAGGGCTGGAGATATAAAGATAAAACCAATGGTTCTTGCTTTCATTGAGGAGTATGGGGCATTGAGAGCAGGGAGGGACTTTAGTCCAATCTTTTCCTCCTATAAATGAGAATATTGAATACCATCAAGAGAGGGTAGGGAAGTAACTGCCACCTGGGTGGCAGTCAGGATTTGAACTCAAGCCCTCTCACCCCAGACCCCGCTCTTTTTCCTTCTATTCCCCCAGGACTGCTGAGAGACAGCATTCCGTTTATGCCCTTACTCTTCTTGTTTCTAAATTCACCATGTCGGGTTCCTCCAGTCAGCACCCCACATGGCATGACTGCCAGCCCCTCTGGTCCCAGGGCCTCACGGTCAGCTCTGCAGCTACGACCCCTTGAATCTTCATCTTTGCTCAGCCCCTGGAGGGGAGAAGGCTTCTTCCTTGGGTGGGGGGGGCGGCATGTTCATGCTTTCTCCTCTTGTTGCCCCCAAGAAAGGCCCCGAGCAGCTCCTGAGCCCCCTCCCGGGGCATCCTGACTCCCTTGCCAGGGCTCCTTCAAAGCCGCCTCCCTTTGGAGGTTTCTTAGTTTAAAAGGAAACAGAACAGAAAGCTGTAGGTGTCCCAAAGGGCCTCCCACAATGGCGTTCTTGTTGTCCAGGTCTGATATTAATGGGCTACTCCTTGGGATTTCAGACTGGAGCCGTTGACAGCAAATGAATCTAAGAAAGGAAGGACTGTGAGGCGAAGGTTTAAAAGAGAGGAAACGCCTCCCCTCCCCTCCCCCCTCCTCCTCCCCGCCGGCTTTGATCCGGGCTCTGGAGATGGATTGTCCTCATTTCACAGGTCCCCGTGCGGAGGTGGACGTCGTTGGGAGGCAACGGCGAACTGATCTGTTTTCTAAGGGATCTCGGGGGCCGGCCCAGAAAGGGGATCAAAGCTGCTGGAGAGTCAGAGGAGGATGAAGGATTAGGCACTCGATTTTTTCACGCCTGCCGTGCACATGGGGACCTGATGGATCAGTATGAGAAACACAGCCAGGCAGACGCAGCCCAGGCCTGGGGCAGGGGCTGCCGGGGGAGGGGGGCGGCCGGAGGGAAGGGAACTCGCCGCAGCTGCAAACCATTGAACGCTGACTTACCATTCTGCTTCTGCTTTAATTGTCCTTCTATGTGTTTTCCTTCGTTCAGCACAGTTCATGGCGACTTCCAGACCTTTCTGATCTTTAAAAATGATGAGCCCGACTCCTGCCAGGCCTGTAGAAGCTGGGGGGGGGGGGGCGTGAAGCAGAGCTGCAAGGCTGTGACTGAGGAAGCCAGAGATAGCAGCACCAGAACCCAGAGCTCCGGGTTCCAGTGTTCCCTGTTCCACTGGCTCTTCATGTGCAGCGTTTGACACTGGACCTGGGATCAGAAGCTCTGGTCCCAGATCTGACCTCTGACACCTCCTAGCTATGTGACCATTGGTGAGCAAAGAAATCCAGATTTGGAGCTGGGAGGAACCTTGGAACTCATCTAGTCCAACCCCTTCATTTTACAGAAGAGGAAACTGAGACTCAGAAAGGGGAAGTGACTTAGGCACTGTCACCCATGGGATCATAGCCCTGAACCTGGAAGTCACTTTAAAGGTGACAGACTTCACCCCCTCCTGAGGCCAAGAATGGTAGAGACTTCCTGCTGGACTGGAAGCTCCTGGAAAGGAGGGTCTGAGGGAGGTACAGAGACTAAGGGACTAAGACTCGATGCCTACCCTCTAGAAGGTGCATGGTCCATCCAGGAGGTCAGATTGGCCCCGCATGTAACAAGTGATACATGATGGGACGCAATAACTGTCAGATGCAGGTGATAAAGGCCACAGGAGTACTGGGGATGGAGATATGGGGTCAAACTATCAAGGAGGGCTTCATGGAGGAGGTGGGACATGAAGTAGGTTTTGAAGTCTTGATGGAAGTAAAACAGGCAGAAAGGAGAGAAGAAGCTGTGTTCCTTTGGGAAAGGGTACAGCAATGTTGGAGGAGATGCTTGAGATGAAAATGGGTGCCCGGAGACAGAGACTTTGGTACAAGGGCAGGAACGGGGTGGGGGTCGAAGAGATCACCAGAGCCATGCAAAGTGATGGATCCAATAGCCCCCCAAGGCTGGCAGCAGAAGATGTCTAGGGAGGGATCCCTCAAGGAGGTTGTATGCTTTTGGGGGGAGTATTGGGGAGTAGGGATGGCAGGCAGAGTTTAATTCTACCATTTGGGTTTTCCTTGTTAATTTCTTTGCTCTTCTGCCCTTATTAAAGGCACTGACATTTCATTAATGGGGGCTACTGGGTAGAGAACACATGGGGCTCGGGAACCTAAGTGGACAAGCTTTACAAGAGAAACATGTAGGTGCCTGAAAGGAGAGAAGAGAATGGCTGCCCAATGCTCAAGCTCCAGATTCTGGCCTTATACCGCCATCTTTAAATTGAGGAGCCCACAACATCTCACATTAGTGACCTGCCATTACAACAAGGAGATGGGAAACTAGGTCAGATCACCAGTCTTGATCCGAAGCTCTAGGTAAAGGAGGAAACTGCCACCTGGTTAGGACTTCCTGCTGGGGAACTGTGCCTGCTTCTCTTTCCCCTCCTCTTCTTCCCTTCACACTTGTCTCCCTCAGTCATTTCTGTGTTCGGGTGCTATCCCCTAGCACAACTCTGCCATTACTCTAGTGAATGAGGCAGTTCTTACCCCTGGGGAATGTGTGTCACTATGGGAGAGCTGAGCCTCAGTACCCAGGGCTCTCCTTCTTCTCCATCAAACCCCCTAGAAACTGCACTGAGGTAGCTGGTGATCCTCGGCATCTGCTCACCCAGCTCCCTCGCTTTACAAATGTGGAAACTGAGGCCCCAGGAAAGGAGGTAACTTGCCAATGTCACGATTAGAACAAAGGTCTCACTACATTCCCATTTTTTCCCTACCTTCAATGGACTTAAATTAAAATGTCCAGAACACTTAAGTCTGGGGAAATCCTTCTGAAAGGGGACTCAAAATCTCCTGGTTCTCTGGGTTTCTTTCATTTTCTCACTCTCCTGTCCCTGAGTGTTTATTTCCTTTTCCATCCCTCTGGTATCTGTGATTCAGGGAGACAGCATAGCTGTTATTGCAGGTGTTGGCTTACCCTCCTCTGGCTGCTCTGCAAATAAGGCCAGGTCAGGCTGCCCCCGGGGGAAACTAGAGCCCATTGTCTTCTCTTTCCATCATTTTATTTTAACATCACAGCAGTTAACTGCCTATTGGGGCTTCCACTAGAAACTCAGCCACTCATCAGGTTAATGCTATGCCATCAGGAGCTGGGAGGAGTCCAAGTTTGCAGAAGACAAGGCTTCATTTTTTCCAGAAGTGAGAAAAAGTGGCTCATCCATTTGTGTGTGATGAGTGTCAGAAGCAGCACATGCCTTCGAGTGCATCCCTGAGCTGCTGTGGGGCAAGTGTTCCCTGCCCCTTGGTGCCCCCTCCCCATCCTCTGAAGAGGGCGATGCCCTGGGGAGATAGCAGCGGCATGATGCCTAGTTTCGGGTCAGTGTCCTAAACAAATAATCAACTCAGGGGAAAAAAGAAAACACATTATCATCATCATTAATACAAGTGGCTCATGCCCTCTTCTGATGCCTCATTCAAGTGTGGAAGGTGACTCTGGATTCTCAGTGCACACTCTGCCAATAGATAGAAGTCCTGACAGGGCTTCTCAATCAGTCGGTCAATCAACAAGCCCTTGCTATGAGCTAGGTTCTAGGTTCACTCAAAAAGTGAAACAGTCCCCTGCCCTCACAAGGCATACAGTCTAGCCAAGAAAGACAAGATGTGTATGTGGGGGTATGTATGAAATAGATAGGGCAGCTTGGTGCAGCATGAAGCACTGGACCTAGAGTCAGGAAGACCTGAGTGCAAGTCTGACATCAGACACTTCCTACCTGTGTGACCCTTGGCAAGCCACTTAACCCAGTTTGCCTTAGTTTCTTCATCTGCACAATGAGTTGCAGAAGGAAATAGCAAGCCACTTCAGTGTTTTTACCAAGAAAACCCCAAATCAGGTTACTGAGACAGACACAACTGAAGTGATTGGTGGGGAGGGGTTAAGGAGCAGGAGAGAAAGTGATGCTTGAAGTGAGCCTTGAAGGACATGGGGACATCTCCGAGGCAGGATTGAGGAGGGAGGGCACTCCAGATATGGTGGGCAGCCATTGCAGAGACACGGAGAAGGGGGGAGGACCTATGAGTGCAAGGCACAAGAAGGTCCATGTGGCTGAGCCACAGTCTAAGTGAATGGAGCAATGTGCAGTGAGGCTGGGAGGTGGCAGGTTGGGGCAGGATAAGAAAGACTTTAAATGCCAAATAGAGAAATGTGTATTCAATTCTAGAGGTCACCAAGTTCCATTAGCTTTTCTTTCCAGTTACTGAAGAAGTCGAATGGTGGATAAAGTGTCAGACTCGGAATCAGCAGAGACCTGAGTTCAAATTCTGCCACAGGCATTAGCTGCATGACCCTGGGCAAGCCCCTTAATCTCTCTGGGCCTCAGTTTCCTCAGCTGTAAAGTGGGAATAATAATAGTACATATGTGACAAGTTCGGGGGAGAATCAAATTAGATGGTATATGCAAAGGACTTTGCAAACCTTAAAGGCACAGAAAAAAGCCAAGAGGGGTAGTAGTGGTGGTAGTGGTGGTGAAGGTAGTAGTAGCAGTAGCAGCAGCAGCAGCAGCAGCAGCAGCAACAATAGTAGTAGTAGCAGTAGTAGTAGTAGTAGTAGTAGTGGTAGTAGTAGTAGTAGTAGCAGCAGTAGCAGCAGCAGCAGCAGCAGTAGTAGTAGTAGTAGCAGTAGTAGTAGTAGTAGTGCCCAGATAGGAAGATTTCGATCAGAGAGGGGCCTGCCGATAGATGGTGTGTCCATCAGCTCTACTAGGCTTGGGGAGGGTTTTCACCAGTAGTGCAGCCACCAGAAAATGTTTTTGACACCAGGAGCTTATGAAAACCATCCATAAAGGTGTGAAAAGGTTTCATTCTGTCAGTGCAGGGAGTGTTTCCTTCAAGGGGACCCTAACTCTTCAAATCTGGAAATAAACAGCCAGCACTCTTAGTCAGTCAATGAACACCAAACTTTCTGTACATTCACCAGCAGGCTGACATGGAGCTCACCATCTGGTGGGGAAGATGAGATGTGGATGCAAATGATTCCAATATGAGGTGGGCTTGGAAAGTACAATAAGAAAGGTATGAGGTGTTCTGGCAAGTCAGGAAAGAATGAGATTGCTTCCAGGTGAAAGGATCAAGAGGGCAGATGCTTGGGGGTGGCTTCTAGGAATGGTGATCAATCTATGTTGATCTGGACAGACAGGGCTGGATCTGGACTCATGGCTTTGACCATTAGCGCTGCTACTCCCCTGCCTGGCACATATGGTAGCTAGGCCACGGTCAGTGACCTTGGAAACCTCAGGGCAGGGGAGGGGGGGAAGATAAGAGGAGTCCTACAGGCCTGGAGATGTGCCCTGTCTTCAGTCTCAGAAAAGAAGAGAGGGCAGAGTTTCCACATTATAGAACAGTGAGGTCTCGGGCTCCTGAGAAAAGTCTACAACATGTTAGTGAAGAGAAGTTTTGTAAGCATTCAGAAAGTGAAGCAGTGATTTTCCAGAGCTGGCCTAGCTTCCTCACAAACCTGGCCAAACCAGTGTCATCTTAGTCTTGGCCGGACCTGTCATACTAGCAGTTAAGAAGGACGCTATAGACAAGGGTGTCTAGGTTTTAGTCTACCATATGACACAGTCAGCTTTTCATATAATTCTTTTCCCTTTTTTTGCTTTTTTTGAGGCAATTCAGTGTTAAGTGACTTGCCCAGGGTCACACAGCTAGTAAGTGTTAAGTGTCTGAGGCTGGATTTGAACTCAGGTCCTCCTGACTCTAAGGCCAGAGCTCTATTCACTGCACCACCTAGCTGCCCCCTCATATAATTGTTACAGGCATGATGGAGAGATATGGGTTCCATAATATAATTCAATAGATTTGGAGCTGATTTAATGATTACCTGAGGAGTGATTGTTAATGCATCAATGCTAACCTGGAGGGAAGTCTTCAATGGAGTGCTGCAGAGATCTCTTCTTATGTGCTATTTAAAATTATGATCAGTGATAAATTCATAATAAAATAAATAAATAAAAACATATACTAACGAATGATGGTCAGCGACTTACGTGAAGGCATAGGTGTTGTGCTGGCCAGATTTCCAAAGGCATTGTGCTGCTAT